CCTGGTATCCAGCCCCGCTTTGGTCTCCCTGCTCAAGGGAAAGTCGCTCCTCCCTCTCCCTCTGCCCCTGCTTGTGTTCCCTCTGTTCGTTACCTCTCTCTCTGTCAAATAAATAAAATCTTTAAAAAAAAAAAAATAATAATAATTTTCATCTGTGCCCAGGGAGGGTGGGAAAAGGCCCCTGGCCGACCTTGTCCCCATCCCCCGCCCAGACCATTTCCAGAAGCAGGAAGATCCCATTCTGGGGTCCACCTGATCCGGAGAGGGGACCCCGGCCCCCATGCGGTCTCCTCCTGACCGCCAGGTGGCGCCAGAGTCGTTCATCTCCTGAGTCGTTCATCTTCCTGATCCCGGCAGCAGCCTGCGTGACCCGGAAGCCGTGGCTGGCGAAGGGGGAGTGCTTCCGAGTAGGAGCGAGGTGACCCCGGCTGCTGCGGGAATCTGCGGCGACTGCAGCCATGGGGGCGCATCTTGCCCGGCGCTATGTGAGCGATCAATCGGGGGAGCCCGACCCCCAGCGGATGCCCACCTTCCCCCCCGACTACGGCTTCCCGGGGCGCAAGGAGCGCGGTGAGGCCCAGTGCGCAGGCGCGGCCCGCGGGAGTGGGACGCGGACGCCCGAACCCCCGAATCCCGGGGTCCCCAGGGTTGGGCGCGGGCTCCCAGCGCTGTATCTGCGCTCAGCCTTGACCTCGGCCTGGAAGAGTGCAGAGGACACGCGTGAGCCTGGCTGAGTGCGGAGGCATCCTAGGCGGAAGTCACAGGTGGAACAGAAAGCCCAGGGGCAAGAGTGGCAGTCTGGGGCTGAGGGGCGGTCGGAGCCGGGCTGAGTCCTGGAGGCGGTGGGGAGCCAGCGCAGGGTTGATCACGGAAGGGACGTGTCCACTGTTTCTCTGTCCAGATGGCACTGCTGTTTGGGGTATACACAAAACAGGAGGGGCCCCCTCAAGCCGCACATGCTGTCCTGCGCCTTGCTCTTTTTATGTAGCAATACCACAGGCGTATCGAGAGCCAGCCTGGCCAAGTCTCCGTTGGGCACCGCGCGTACAGCCGGCACTGGCTAAAGGGAATTCCAACCCCGTGGGAAAGACAGCGGAACCAGGCGTATCTCGGGCGCGGCACCTGGGGGTGTCAAGGCAGGCTTCCAGGAGGCGGTGGCTGGAAGCAAGATCTGAGAGGGATACGTAGGAGTTGGCCAGATAAAATACAAGAAGAGGGGAAAGTCAGTGCTTCTAAGCAGAGAGACATGACCAGACTTGCCTTGTCAGAAGGTGCTGTTTGCTGGGTGGGCAGCGGCAGGGAGACCTCTAAGCGGGTGGTGTGCAGAGAGAACGTCAGGAGGTGGACTCCTCTCCAGTGTCCCAAATCCTGATGGTCCTTCAGCCCCACGTGAACCTGCGTCCCATCAGTCCCCCACCTCCTTATGTGAATCCTTACCTTCACCCCTAATCGCACAGGTCTCTGCTCCTCTTGCTAGCTGGGCTAAACCAAAACTGGGCTCAAACTGGGCTCTCCTTGGCATCTATCCCTGTGCAGTGGAACATCACAGGAGAAGAACACCCAACCGGCTTACTGCTCTCCCCATGGCTCCCCTCGCTGACCCTTCATGCTGCTGGTTTTCCTGCTACCTTCCCTGGCACTTGGCTCGCTCTCGTGCTTTCCTAGACAGTCCCACACCTTCTCCCTCAGACTGCAGCACCTCCCTCCAGCCAGTCACTTACACCCTCTTATTAAGAAAATAGAAGCAACCAGAAGCGCTCAGCTGGGCTTCCTGCATCCCTGCGACATGGCCTTCTCTCCTGTTACCCCAGACTGTCTGCTCCTGCTCTAGCCAAGCCCCCGCTCCAGAAGAACCCTTTTGTGCCACCTGTCACATCCCCTCGCCTATTGGCTGCCCCAGCCCTTCTCCTCACGCAACATTGGTTTTCCCATCACCGTGCAAACAGTTATTTCTACTGTTTCAAAATCCCGTCCAGCTGTCTCCCCACCGCTTCACAGAAGGGGCTCCTGTCCAGCTTCCCGCCCACCCCCACTCTCTATCCCTGGACCCCCTTGTCAGTTCTCAGTTCTCACTAACCTGCTGCAGTTGGCATCCAAGTTGATTGCTACCACTTCCTGGAAACCTGGTGCCCAGGCCCCCGCACACCCACCCACCTCACTGATGCGCCCTCGTGATTCCTCCCCACTTCCCTGTCTTTTTTTTTTAATTTTTTATTTATTTATTTGACAGAGAGAGAGGGAACACAAGCAGGGGGAGAGGGAGAAGCAGGCTTCCCGCCAAGCGGGGAGCCCGATGTGGGGCTCGATCCCAGGACCCTGAGATCATGACCTGAGCCGAAGGCAGACGCTTAACGACTGAGCCACCCAGGCGCCCCTCCCACTTCCCTGTCTTGTAAATGTTGAGGTGCCTTGCTGCTTGGGCCTTCTGTCTCCACTCACTCCCACCCATCCCTGGGGGTCACCGCTAGTCCCCTGGTTTCAGGTGCCTTATGATGCTCCCAAGTTTTTTATCTCCAGCTGGGCCTGGACCCTCAACTCCAGACTCGTGGGCATCTCCCACTCAGCGGGTCCAAAACAGAGTTCCTGACATCCCCACCAAGCTCACCCACATGCTTGGGCTGAGATCCCCGGGGCATCCTGAACCTCTCTTCTCACCTCAAGGCCTTTGCACCTGCTGTCCCACCGCTGGGAATGCTCTTCCCCCCCCAGGTGTGACTCACTCCCTCACCTTCAGATGCCTTTCTGAGGGACGCCTGCATCTAAGGCTGTGACCCACGCCCCAACACTGCCTCTCTCCCTTGCTTTACTTTTCTCCCTAATACTGATCATTGCCAGACGTTCTGTGATAACCTAGTTCCACCTGTTTGTTGTGTCTGCCTTCGAGGGCAGGCACCTTTGTCTGGTGGCATGTTCCCTGCTGTGTCTCCCAACACCTAGCACACAGTAGGTGCTGTGTAAATCCTGGCTCATGCCGGAGCCCCTGGTGCTGGTGGCTCCACACTGCCATGGAAGCCAGCAGGGGGCTGCAGATGGATACCCTGGCCTGGGGCTCAGATGAAGTGAGGGTGGCAGGGGGAGCCAAGTTGGGACTCATCCACCTGTGGAGTAACGATCGAAGACACGGATGAGAATGAGTAGAGAGCTCCTAGCAAGAACCACTGGAAGCCACCATTTAATGTTTGGGCGGCCAGAGAGTGGTCCCCAGGGAGCTGTGGGGAAAAGAACATTTGAGAAAGAAGCAGGCAGGAAGGTGAGGAAGCATGGAGTCCTGGCATCTCGGGAGGCCCTGGTGAGAGCCATGTGTGGACAGTGCTGGGGTGGAGTATGGGGGCTGGAAGAGCATGGGGTGCAGGGGCAGGGGATGAGGACCCGGGCTGGAGACAAAGAAACGGGACTGGGAAGCAGAGGGGAGGGAAGCCAGCCAGGGGAAGGTGCAAGATCACTGCGGACACCTTTTGGTGCTGATGGGAAGGAACTGGGATCAAGATGTCGAGGGGAGTGGGGTCTGCGGATGCAGGACGGCTGGGTCTTGGGCGCCCTTGCTGGGCTGAGAGCAGGTGGGTGCAGGCGGGGTAGGTGTCCAGTTCCTAACAGCCCCAGTCAGCCTCGTAAGGGTGATTTCACCCGATCGGGTGTGCCAGGCAGGCATGGCACTGGGACCAGGAGCCAGTCCAGCTCTCTCTGAGGCACGGGCCCAAGCGCTTCACACGTAATTCGCTCAGGTGATGCTCACTATTGACTCTGGAGCTGGAGGACCATTACTCCGCTTCTTAGCAGAGGAAGTGGAGATGGCCAGCAGGGCAGAGCTGGGATCCAGGTGCCCCGGGCAGCGCACCCGACACTGGGTTGTGGCCAGCAGGGGGATGCGCCGGGAGAATGTGGTTTCTGAGCGTGGGCTCTGCAGGGTGGGGCTGTCTGAAGAGAGAGCCTGGGGGAGGGAGACCCAGGGAAGGGGAGGCAAGGATCCAGTACAGATTTGGAGGCACCCTGGGGTGACGGGGAGGGGGGGGACCCTTCTGTCTGGGCCTCCGTGTCTGGAGTGTGGTCTTTGTGCAAATTAGAAAAAGACACTGCCAGAAGGTGGCCGTAGTCCAGGTGCCACATCCCAGTGGGTGCGCCCCTGAACCATGGCTCCCGGGAATCAGGTGTGGGGGTGGGGGACGGGTCTCTGGCAGTCAGACCCCAACCAGCCCACCCACTGCTCGCAGAGATGGTGGCCACACAGCAGCAGATGAACGACGCGCAGCTGCTGCTGCAGCAGCGAGACTACTGCGCCCACTACCTCATCCGGCTGCTCAAGTGCAAGCGCGACAGCTTCCCCAACTTCCTGGCCTGCAGGCACGAGCAGCACGACTGGGAGTACTGCGAGCACCTCGAGTGAGCCCCAGACCCGCCGCCACACCCCCAGCCCTGGCCTGGCGCCTGGCAGGACCCTGCCCCAGAGACAAGGGACGGTCAGCCAGGCCCCAGCTTGCACAAAAGAGGAGTCTCGGGGCCTGCGGGGTGGGCCCCCTGGAGGAATGGCCAGGTCCGGCTTCTGCCCCGGGCTCACTGGGGCCAGCCAGCTAGCACCAGCTCAGGCACACCCACACTGGAGCCAGGCACACAGGCCTTTCCCAGTCAGAGGCTTCCCAGAAAGCTGTGGGGCACCCACTCCTGTCCCTTCGGCTTCCTGGGGCTTGGGAGGGCCTGGCCACGGAGCCCGACGCCCGTTCCCGTGCTCTGCCCACAGCTACGTGATGCGCATGAAGGAGTTTGAGCGGGAACGTCGGCTGCTCCAGCGGAAGAAGCGGCGGGAGCAGAGGGAGGCAGATGTGGCCAGAGGCCAGGGGCCCGGCGAGGTGGCCCCCAAGGTCGCCTTGTAGAGGATCCGCCCCCACCCTGTGGACCAGTTGAGAAATAAAAGCCTCCAGGCCCCTCAGCTGGAACCGTGCCTCTCTCTGTGGTGTGCTGGTCCCCAAACCTCTCCCCCAGCCCCCCAAAGAAAGCCTGAGTCCGAGTTTGGCAGGGACAAGCAGGTTTTATTCCAAGAGCTGGAGAGTGGTAGTCCCCGCTCCTCCCCCAGAATGATGCTGGGGCAGAGGGATGAGAGCCTGGCTTGGCAGACCGTGGGAGGTGGGCAGCAGCTCAGAGCAGGAAGGGGATGATGGGCATGCGCAGTGGGGGGTAGTCTCGGAACTCCTTCAGGTAGCTACGGTGCTTGCCCTTGGCCCAGATGGTCATCTGAGTGAAGCCCACCAGGGAGAAGAGGGCCACTGTGGGGCAGAGCAGGGGTGTCAGGGAGAAGCTGCACAGCCCAGGTGGGCTGGGACCCACAGAGGGAGGGACAGCAGGCTCACCTGGGACACACTGTGTCATGATGGCAAAGCCAATCCAGGACCCCACCTGTGGGGAAGAACGGTCGGGGGTGAGGGTGGGCAGTGCCTGCTGTTCTCCAGGGGCCTTGCCACCCCCAAGGACCAACTCGCCCACCAACCCTTTCAGAGCGAGGGGGTAGGAACCAAACTCCAATGCCAGAGAGGCCTTGAGTGAACAGGGGTGCATGATGTGGCTGCCCCCCAGCCCCCTCGAGCTGCAAGCCTGGCCTTGCCCACCTCCCAACTCCAGTAAGGCCAGCCCTTCCATCTCCAAATACTCCCACTGCTGAGCCAGGCACCTCTAGTAGGGGCTGGCATGTGGGACCCCAGCCCCTGGAGGGAGAGGAGGGAGCAGAGCAGACCCTCACCTCGTAGGTATAGTTGGGGCAGGACACCAGCAGGAAGAGCCAGGTGAAGGGGTTCTTGGTGGGGTATGGGATCTTCCTGGTCTTGGACCCTGGCAGGTAGGCCAGGAGGGACAAGTGAGACCCCCTCGCCCAGTCTGCCCAGCCTGCCCACCACCACCCCTTGCCTGGGGCAGGCCACTCACCAGCTGGCCGCAGGTCCCGCAGGGCCATGTGGATGGAGAAGTTGCCAAGCTGGCAGATCTGTCAGAGCAGCAGGGTCAGCCCAGAGTTCCCCCCGCAGCTCCCCGCCCTATTCCCCTCCTCCCAGCCTGTTTACCACGAAGATGGCGAGCGCCAGTTTAACCTGCTGAGCTCCGTAGGCTGAAGAGGAAGCAGAGAGGGGAGGCCTATGAGGGGAGAGCCCGGTGGGGTGGGAGGCTCACAGGGTGGGGCGGGGCAGGTCCAAGGCCACTTACTGGGGGGCGTATAGAGAGGGTGGTTGATGTAATAGGCCATCCATGCGGCGAAGCCCCAGTAGTAGGTGCAGTTCTGAAAGCAAGCAGGGCTCAGATGAGGCCTGGCCCCGCAGAGGGTGGGACTGGGGATGCACAGGGAACTGGACGATCCCGGTGGGTGGGGCTGGGAGAACCCAGGCGCTCACCTTGAAGATGTTGCGCAAGGGCATGGTGCCGTGGGAGAAGCGGTGCACGAAGAGCGTCTCCAGCAGACGCTTGACGTAGTGGAATGAGTGGCAGATGCAGGCGAGGCTGGGAGGGGGAGCCAGCTCAGCTGGGGCGGGCCCAGCAGGCCTTCCCCCCTCCCCGCACCGCCCCCTTCCACCTGGCCCCACTCACTGCACCACCGTGTGCCGGCTGGACGTGAAGTCGTATTTGTGGCCATAAATGAAGGGCACCCGGAAGTAGAAGAGCAGGTAGATGAAGAGGGGCCCTGCGTACTCAGTCAGGAAGACCTAGGGGTACAGGGAGCAGGTGAGTCACCCCAATGTGGCTGATGGGAAAGGAGGCCACGGATAGGGCTGGGACTCACCGTCACCCAGCTGATCTGGGCCCCCAGGTCCCGGAAGTAGAATGTGGCCGTGGTGCCCACGGGCAGCTTCTGCAGAACATCCTCATCCTTCAGGGACTTGCCCTCTGCAGAGACAGGCCGGGGCTCAGGGCTGCCCAGACCTTTGCCCACCGCCACCCAGGAGCCTAAGGGTGGCCAAGCAGATAGCTGTACTCACTGGGGTCCAGGCGAAGGGACTGGCGGGCAGGGTACCACTGTGGATCTGTGGGGAGAACAGGGTGTCACAGCACACAGCACAACAGAGCCCCCCGGGATGAGGCGAGGCCTCTGAGGCCCGTGCCTCCAGGACAGAGCCAGGAACAGCCCAGGCAGAGGCAGGATGTTGTCCTTCCGAAAGCCCAGCAAGGGCGTTCCTACCAATGGCCATGCAGGGACACCTGCCCCAGGCAAGCCAAGAGAAGCCTGGGCCACACTGGGGGCACCTCTGCAGGACCTGGGGAGAGAGAAGTGCAGGACCAGGTCCCACCCAGAGGCCCCTGCCCAGAGGGGTCACGGACAGCAGCGCAAATGGGCCCTGGACTTACGGGTCTTGGTGAAGAGGTTCTTGATCTCGGCAATGGTGGCATGGGGCTCCACCTGGGGGAAGCACAAGCCGCAAAGAAGTCAGGGCAGGGTGGGGCATGATTAGGACCCCTCCTGGTAAGGGGGGATGGACTGGGGGACTGGGCAGCTGCTACGGGAAGGGGAAGGCTGGAGTTCAGGCTCCCCGCGTACATGGCCGAAAGGAGCAGCAAGGGCCCTGCCAGAGTGGGGAGAGCCGTAGGCCTGAGGGCCCGGTTTTACCAAAGGCAGCCAGGACACCCCTGGCCTGCTGGGAGACTGTTTGAGCACAGGAAGCTGGGCCTGCTTCTCTGCCTCTCCTCCTCACCCCACCCGCAGCTCCCCTCACAGTGACGGCCCTCTTGGGGCCAGAACTCCCTGGGACAGGAGCCCCTTCCCCCATGCCGGGCCTTGGCAGGGGGCAAGTCTCAGACTCCCACCTTCTTCCCAGGCCCCAAAGCCCTGCAGGGTCCACGGAGGCTGCTTCGCCTCCTCCCACCAGGGGGCCAGCTCCTGGCCACACCCAAGGGCCATCGGTGCCCACTCCACCCCAAGCTGGCAGCGACAGGCCTGGGGAAAGTATCCCTCGTACGCTGAGGGGCAGGTGGGGAGTCAGGACACAGGATGGAGGGACACAAAGGGTCCAGCTGGACAGCTCCCATCTCCTCTGAACCAGAAGCCCCAGGAAGGAACAGGGACCCAGGCCCCATGCCCTTGGCCCAGTACAGCTGGCGCCAGGGTCCTACCTTGTCCAGGAAGCAGAGCTTCTCCCGCGTCTTCGCATCCAGAATCTCCACCTCGAAGAAGAGAACAGCCTTTTTAGGTTTTTTGGTCGCTTTGGCGGGTGCGATCCCGGGAAGGCCATTGAGGCCGAGGCTGGGGCCGGGGCCGAGGCCCTGGCTGGCCTCCCGGGCCACCATGCTCATGTTCAGGTCCATGCTGCCCTGTTCTGCCCGCTGCAGCCAGCGGCCCCAGCTGCCGGCCGTCAGCCCCCACCGCGGACCTCCCCACGCGAAGCAGCTCTGGGCCGGGCCGGCGTGATCAAATTCTGCCGCGGTGCTGGAAAGGAGCCCGCGCCTGCCCTGGCACGGCTGCCTTCTGTGCAGATGTAACCCGAGTGCCCCGCAGCCATGGCCCAGCTAAATATAAAACTGCCCCAGACTGAGCCCCCCAGGAGCCGTGCCACACACCTCCTGGGGGCAACCCCCGGGGGCTGGGTCCTCCTGAAAGTGAGACTTTCGAGTGGACACAGCCCCCAAACAGCCCAGGGGGCAAGAAGACCCCCTGAGGCAGGCATGGAGGCACCCCGGCCCAGTGTAGGGTGGGGTCAGCCACAGGCGGAGGGTGAGCGGCCCGCGGGCAGCCCAAGCCCCGGCGCCCAGCTCTGGCCTGCAGAGTTCACTGGGCTTGGGAGAAATCCCAGCTATTTTGAGAATCCGAGAGATAGATCATCCATTTCCCCTTCTGAGCTGTAAGAGACGCTGCGGATTATTTTCCTTGTGCATTTATGTTCCCAGGGAGGTGACAGATTCCGGAGTTATTGGTGCAGAGAGCCTCTCTAAGTGTGGAAAGGGTCAGGAAACCAAGAAGTTTCCAGCTAGCATCCCCAGCCTGGACTGATGAGCCCTCAGCCCCTGCCTCCCTGACCTCCCTCTCCACTCATTTCTCACTAGGTCCACCCAGGCCTTGTTCAAGGCCACCTTTGGGACAGTCTTCCCACAGCATCAGCCCAACATAGCACCCTTGCCTAGGCCCTGACCCCCACAAAGCCCAGAGCACACAGCCTGGCCACTCCCACCCCACTGCTCTGCTTGAGCCCCCGGACAGTGGCCAGACAGTAGCAGAGCAGTGGGGCAGAGCTGGGGGGGAGAGAGCCCTCAGGGGGATCTGGCCCACCCATCCCAAGCAGGTCTGAGAAGGCACCAGGAGGAGCAGGGAACACAGGAACTGCTGGAGCTGGAGGGAGGCCCAGCAGTGGCCAGCTGATCCCAAAAGGTCCAAGTGCTCCCCTGGGGGGCTTGGCACAGATGCTCTTAGACATGGGGCCATGGCAGGCAGGGCTTGGTCTGACCTCAAGTCAGCACTGGCCAGCAGGTGCTGAGAATCCTTCCCACCCCTGGTAGAGCCTCGGTCAGAGGCAGCATGGGGAAAGGAGAAGGACCAGAAACCCAGGGCAGGGCCCCAGCCAGGGCTCTCTGAGGGTACAGCCACCTACCCACAGCCCAGGCAGAGGGGCCCACCGCAGCCAGCACCCCCAGAAGGAAAGGGCTCCCCTCACACATCCCCCAGTGACAGGAGCGCAGTGGGCAGCAGACGGGACTGAGTCTGGCCCTGCCATTCAGTCCCTGGGTGACCAGCCCCTCGGAGCCTCAGCTGGGGGGCAGGTAGATAGGCGTGTAGCTCCAGGGGCTATAAGGGTCATGAGACAATGCGAGTGAAGCATCAGCACAGTGCCTGACACTGCCCCAAAACCTGGGGCCATGAGGCTGGGCATGAGGAGACCCGGTGGGAAGGGCACCAGCCTGGGTGCAGATCCCGGCCCCCCTGGTGGCAGGCAGCATGTGAGCCTGTTGGCCCATGTACGCTATGCCCGCCCCACACCATGGACAGGAGAGGGCCCAACACCCAGCCCTGGCCTATGCCACCTACTGATGCTGCACCGGACGGAGTGTGTGTGCTGCCGGCTGCAGGCTCTGCCCAGCTGTGTGGCCTTGGGGGACACATTACGAAGCCCCTCTGAGCCACACAGATAACAAAGCCAAACAGAAGGGCCAGAAAAAGGAAACCAGTCCTACTGCCCTGAGTGCCAGGCCCCACTGAGGGGACTTGTGGGAGAGGGAAGGGGCACATGCAGAATGTGCCAGAAAGGGCTAGAATAGCAGAGCCGTGGGCAGGTATAGGGCCTGCCCCATGGCTACAGTATATTAATAGTTCCTGGGTCCCGGGGGGGGCAGTGCCCACATGCCTCTGGAGCCCATGTGGGGCAGGAAGACAGCACCAAGCCTCCTGGGAGAGGAGGCCTCTGAGTTCCTGCTGAACCACTCAATAGCTTAAAATACAACCAGCCCCTCTCCCTCCTGGCCAGCTGCTGGGGGAGGGCTGAAATCCTACCCCTCTCCCCCAACCTGGGCACCAGACCAGGGTCCCGGGGAGAGTCGGGGGCCCCGACTGGCTGCCGGGAGAGGAAGCTGGGTGGCAGGAGGGGTGGCCGGGAGGGGGGGCACACTCCCAACAGCCACAGCCACAGACGCGCCTGAGCCGGTCCCAGGCCGGAGGACAAGAGCCTGCGCCCTCCCAGAGGTAAGCCTGGCCCTTGCGGCGGCACCCAGGGGCCCAACCCACTGGGGTGGGGGTTGCCTCAGCTCAGGGCCACTTTCCTGCCCCCAAATCCCAGGACCCAGCAGCCTTCACCCGGAAAGAGGTCTGAAAGGCCCTGAGGTGTGAGGGGGATGTGGGACCCAGGACCTCTCTGTACTATTTCTGCAATTCCCCATACGTCTATAATTATTTCAAAATAAAAGTTATGCTAAGTGGCAAGAAGAAAAAAAAAAGTTATGCTAAGGAAAAGAAGGCAGACACAGAGTCATATATTTATGTAAAACGTCCAGAATCGGCAGATGCAAGGAGACAGATAACTGTGTTGCCACGGGCTGGGAAGGGGGGGAGTGAGGAACACTGCCTAACGGGAACCTGGTATCTTTTAGGGATGATGGAAATATTCTGGAACTAAATCGAGGTGGTGGCTGCAGGGGGACAGACGACAGTATGAATGTATTTGATGCTGCTAAACTATTCATTTTTAAATGGTTAATTTTATGTGAATTTCACCTCAATCAATTATTTTTAGGGGGGGCTAACATGCAGGCCCCAATTACCCACCAAAAAACAGGTCCCAGGGCAGGGAGCAGCAAGAGTTCCTCACACCCATCCACCCCTTTACACGGAGGGCCTAAACATAGGGGACCTGGTCCTGTGCTTCCCAGGCTCCAGTCCCAGAGCTTACCCATGCACCGCACCCCTCCCCACAGCACTGCCACCCCACCCCCTGCTCTGTGCTGAGCATGCCTCCCGCACCCCTGTGCTTCTCCCTCCCTCCTTCTCTCTTTCTCTTTCTCACAAACACACACACACACACACACACACACACACACACTCTGGCCTGCTAAGCCTGATGCCAGCCTGGGATGGGGACCCACGGCAGGCCTAGACCAGGTCAGGGGGTGCAGGCAGCTGCCGAGTACAGCCCTCAGGCAGGGTTCCTAGGCACACAAGGGTAGGCAGCAGGCCCAGACCTCATCCCTGAGAGAAGACAGGCAGGGGAAAGGAGGAGAGGTCAGCCCTCCTAAGGGAGCTGGAGGCAGGGGAAGGGCTGGGAGGAGTGTTATATTCGATGGATGGGTGAGGAGGGTCACCTGAGCCTGAGCCTGAGGTCCCAGCACTGACCACAAGCAGGGGGTGTGGCACCGCAGCCTCGGGCACAATGGACACAGAGGACAAGGACAGGGCAGACGCGCTGGCCTGGGACCCGAGAGTGGCTCTGCGATGACAGCTCCACTAGCCTGGGACAAATTCTCACCCGGGCGCCTGAGATTCCAGGGTCCAGCCAACAGCAACTCGTGGCATGCCACAAGGTCAGGGCATGGGGGATGGGGGGAGGGGGCAGGACAAAGGGTGGGGCCGCAGCCCACGCTGAAGAGGGGTGGGGACCAGGCTGCAACCTTCCCCAGCCTGGAGGGGAGCACCCAGAGCCACTGCTGAGCAGCAGCGCCCATGGCCTTCCCTGTCTTCATGGAAATAAAAGATGTTGCAGATCAACATAGCACTGGTAGAAACGAGGGTGACATTTTCTGAGCACCGTTCTGAGCCAGTGCCGGTGCCCAGAGCAAGGCTCCGGGGATGAACCCCACCTAGCAGATGAGAAACACAGAGCAGTGGGAAAGCAGAGCAGTTATGCAACTACAGGAGAGGCTCAGGGCCTTTGCACATGCTGTTCCCACTGCCTGGACCGCTCACCCCCAGACCCTGCAGGGCTCCTTCCCCCACGTCCTTAGGCCTTCAGACAAATTCTCAAGTGAGGCCCTTCCTGACTCAAAATAGCAACTCCCACATACCAGCTCCTGAGGGCAAGGACTGTTCTGTTCTCAATCATTTCCCAGCACCCAGAACAGCCCAGCAAGGAGCTGGACTCAGTAAACACCTACATGAGGCAACTGGGCTTGCCCAAGGTCACACACACCAGGACCTAAAACTCCCTCCCCACTACCCTCTGAGCCAAGGCCCTTCCCTGCTCCTCCTTCACCACACGCCAGGGGGCTGTGCCCACCTTGCCAAACCCCAGAGCGGCAGGGTGGAAGCTGCTGCCTGGAGCTCTCCCTATCCTGAGCCGGGACCTAGCTCCAGAGAAGCCTCTGTGAGGCCCACAGACATGCCCACCTGGCTCCAGTGACCCTGGCGGACCCAGTATTCTGACAGCTGGACCCTCCTCCCAGGCTCTGGGCCACTGCTCACCAAGGGAAAGGGTCAATGACCAAGCCACCTCCAGCTCCTGGGGAAGCCTGCTGTCTTTCCTCACCCGCAATCCCAACACAGAAGGGGCTCCATGGTGACAGGCTCTACGAGGCCTGGGCCCTCAGAGGCACTACCCCAGGCCCAGTGGCCTCCTCACAAGAAAAGCTCAAGGGCCTTCTTGGCCACGTGCACATTCCCCAGGCTCTGAGGTCAAAAAGACTCACCTATTTCCTGGCTGTGTGGCCTTGGACAAGTTACTCAACCTCTCTGAGCCGCCATTTTCTCATCTATAAAATGGGCTGCCCCCACCTGCCATCTCACAGGACTACTGTAAGATTTACAGAGATAATAACAACCAAAAAAAAAGTACATGAACATGCCCAGCCTAAAAGTGATCCTGTAAAGAATAAATACTACTCGACCAATACCTGCAAAATAGTACGGCAGATACGCAGGGTGCCAGGCCCTTTCTCCCCAGATCCTGACCACGGCCATGAAGGGGCCCAACCAGAGGACTCCAAGGTCAGAGGGGTGGGGTGATGATGCTCCATCCAGCTGATGACAGTGCGCCCGAACCCTAACAACGGCAAGACACGTGTGGGTGAGAGGGGCAGGGCTGCAGCGCTGTCCCCACTACAGTTCCCAGCTGGGCTGTGCCGGCGGCCCTGCTCTCCACCGCCCCCTTGTGGCCGTGGACTCCACTCCCACCTGCAGGAAGACAGCCTTGTCAACTGCCAAGCAGGCAACTCCAGGGCAGGATGGGACCAGCATGGGACCTAGAGAGTGAGCACTAATCGGGCTCTGCCACCTACCAGCCAAGGGGCCTCGGGAGCCACTGCCCCACATCCATTCATTCCTTCCTCCATCCATTCCTGCCTCCCTTCCTCCCACATCTCTGGCACTGCAGTGAACAAAACCAAGCCCCTGCCTTCACAGGATGGCACCCCAGCCTGCGTGTGCTGTGGGGGAGGGGGGACAGACAACAGCGACATGTTTTGTCACCAATAGCTGTGGAGAAAAACGGAATGGAGGCGGGGAGCCGGGGCCGGGGCCTGGGGGAGACCATTTTCCACAGAGTGGTCAGGGAAGGCTTCCCTGAAAAAAGGGCAGCTGAGCAAAGGCCAGTGCGACGTGAGGGAACAGAGCATGCACACCAGGCAGAGGGAACGCCAAGTACAAAGGCCCTGTGGCTGGACTGTGCTTAAGCACGGCTGAGGAGCAGAAAGGCCCAAGTGGCCTGAACAGAGTGACAAGGGAGAGTAGGACACGAAGTCATGAAGGCATGGCGCAGGTCATGCAGGGCCTTGTGGGCCACAGGGAGGGCTCTGGGTTTTACCCTGAGTGAGGTGGGGGCCTGGGAGGGTTTGTGAGTAGAGGAGGGAGGGGACCGGGTGCTCGCAGGCACCCCTGGGGAACTGGGAGACCAGGGCAGAGGCAATAGTGGGGACGGGAGCAGGGAGGTGTCCATGGAGGAGTGAAAAGTGGGCAGGGGGGGGTCTGAAGTTTCTGACCTGAGCCCCAGAAGGGAGGGGCAGCGGGAGGACTGGCACCACCTAAGCCCAGGTTGTAAGTGCTGCTCCTACAGGAGCACCCAGGGCCCAGGTAACAGTGCCTGCAAGGCCTCCAGGCCAGGAGCTCGAACCCCTCTCAAGCCTCAGTGTCCCCATCTTTACCAACACAGCCAGGCCCCTCCCATCTGTGAACAAGACTCAGTGGCCTCAGGGCAGAGTGCACACCCCAGGGCCCCTTGGGACAAGGGGCAGGCACAGGCCTGAGGGTCAGCTTGGCTTCCAGATCGCCCTCATCAGCTCCCACTTACACACCTGGAACTTTTGTGCACCCTAAGATGGGCCCTGCCCAATGAGTATGCATTGAGAACAGCAGGCCTGGAGCTGCGGCAGCCTCCTAGACCCCCCTCCTCATCCTCCCCTTCCAACTGCACAGCAGCCGAGGGAGCAGGGCTGTTAGCTCCATCCTCAGATGAGGAAGCCGAGTTCCAAAGGGTGAGGGCACACCCAGGTCACGCCGCAGTAAACACCTGAGCCCAGTGCACACTCCTGTGTATTCAAGAAAGGCCAGCCCCCACCACACACAGACCTCTGGGGCCGCACTCCCAGCCAGCGCACCCTCTGCAGAGGCCCCTGCAGAGATGGTGCAAGGCAGCATACCACAGAGGTCTGCCTGCCAGGAAAGGGCCCTACAACTGGGTCACGTTGTGTGGGGCGGCCGGGGCTGTGAGGGAGCGTGCACCCTGGTGGGTAACATCTTCTCCTGGGCCTGGGGCACAAGAGGCCCGCTGTGGGTGCGAGCCCTGCTCAGTGCAACCTAGAACTCTAGGCAAAGACACTAAGGCCCTGACAGGTCCTTTAGCTGACTGGCCCAGGCACTCGTGGCCCCCACAGGCCCCCACTCAGGGTCCAAGGGCTGCGGCACCCAGAGGGTGGAGGCCTGGCCTTGAGGAGCAAAGCACCCAACCGGCTCATCCACTTCACAGATGCAGAGGCTTGGGCCCATTTGCCTGGACTCGGCGACTCAGCACTTGCAGCTCCTCTTCCCTTCCACTTTCCAGAAATATCAAAGTCACACTGCTCATGCCAGGGTGGCTGAGAAGACCTTGGGCTCAGCTGCCAAGAAGCCAGCACCGGCCGCACCTGCTCCGCCAGAAATACCTCCTTCCCCAGTGGCCTCGGCTCATGACCCCATTTCCTGAGATGCCCGGGGCAGTTGCCCCAGCCTCCCCGATGTGCCACAGTGGGGACAGAACATCACCAAGGCTGGGAAAGGCCGGGAGACACTGACCACTCACTCCCAGGCCCTCAACCAGCCAGTTTCCACCTCCCACCCCCACTGGCCAGACAAGAGGAGTCAGTGTGTGAATGCCAACGTCCCTAGGCTCTGGGATGGGGGCCAAGAGAAGCTGGCAGAGCCCCATGCAGCCCAGCAGCATCCTGGAGAACATTCTCTGGGTGCTTGTGTGAGCCCAGGTTGGTCATTGCAAACACACAAAGGCGCACATGAAGGGGACACTGAAAAACATGGCAGGGACTCTGGATCTCAGGACTGTTGGCCAGCTGCTCACTCGCACCCACAGCCCACGCACCTCCCTGAGCGGGCACAGGCCACATCTCCCAGCCTCGGGGAGCACTGTCCCTCTGAGAGCAGAGCTGCTGGGGTCTGTGCCATTTGCAAGTGCTTCTGCGAGTAATATCTATCAGGTGCCCACCTTGTGCCAAGGACTGTGCTAAGACCTTCACCTGCATAACCCACCTAGCTTCACCTGGGTCTGTAAGCTAAGGACTGCGACCCCAGATAGGCAGCTCAGAAACGAGGGAGCCCTCACCCAAAGCACATAGCCAGGAAGTGCCAGGGCCAGTGCTAACCTGCCTGCTTGGGCCCAAAGCTCCCCCAGCCCCTCACCACCATGATGCAATACCACCGCCACTCGGAAGAGCAGGGTTAAATGTTAACAGGGAAAAAAGGAGGGAGGGGCCCCTGGATCTGATTATCTGGAAGGCACGCCCCTCCCTGCTGACACTCCAACTCCAGCACACTAGTCTTGGAAGGTCCAGACTCTGCAGAATACATCACCTCCACAAGGAGTGCCCTGCAGGGGAGCCTAAGGGCTGAGCCTGCTCCTCCCCAGGCCTCCGCCTCCCGTGGCCCCAGCACACTCAGGGTACCAAGGGTGAAAGGCCTGTCACCTCCTGACACCACACAGAGGGGCCCACGCAGACTCAGCAGCTATCTTAACGCTTCCTGCACGTTTTCCTGTCGTGGGCTGAGGCCACCACAGGTGGAAAAGCAGTGCCCCGGCAGGAGCAGGTCCCAACACTGAGCAAGACTAGTGCTGCTGAGGCCGGGGTCAGACCAGCCTTCCCTGCCTGAGCCTTAGCTTCTCCATCTGGTCAGTGGGAATGTAAGAAAGAAGACATAACAGAGATGATTCTCGTGGCACATGTGGCAGAAGTTCTGCCCGGTGGTCCAGAACCCTGCCTGCTCATGCGACTCAGCTGAGGAGCCCTGGCCTGGGCAACCTAGGAGGGGGCCCAGGGTCTCTGACGGGGGAGCCGGTGCCCACAGCTTCAAAAGCTCCCAGGTGACAGACGGGGACAGCCTCAAGCAAGGCTGCCTTCCTCAAATGGGCCCTGCCCTCTGGAAGAAGCCCAACATCATTCCCCTGAGGGACTCAGCCGGCCCAGGCCCTCCCAATGGGACCTCAGCCATTTCCTGTAGTGGCTCCCCACCCCTTCCTTGCCCTGCCCCCTGGGGGCTGTGAACACCGAGCACCCAGTCACCACCAGCTCACACTGACCCTGTTAGACTGGCACTATTAACCCATTTCACAGACAGGGAGGATGAGGCTCAGAAGCACAAGTCGCCAGCCCAACAACACCTGGCTACAAGCTCCAGGGGCAGGACCCCATCTGTTTTTGCTCCTTAGAACTGACTGTCCCTGGCCCCAGACACTCAGGGGATGGCCCAGGTCTGCACCCCCCGCACCGCCGGGCCAGGTCGAGGTTGGTAACCATGTCTGGTCTCTGCATCTCAGGCCAAGAAGCTGGAAGAGGCAGGAAACACTGAGCCCTGCAAACACAGGTTGATGGGAGCAGCAGGAGGAGTTCATCCAGGCTGACCCCCCACCTGCGTCCAGCACTTCCGGCCCAGTGTGGCAGGCAGGTTAGTCCAACCCAGAAGCTCTTCCAGAATAGCCCGCTCTGGGATCCCCATGGCTAGCCTTATACACACAGCCAACAGCTAATGCCTGCCGCACGCTCACCATGTGCCAGACACGTTCTCAACACAAATTATCTCTTTTACTATTAATCCCCTTTTGGGGAAACTGAGGCTCATTCATTCACTGCATAAATATTGACTGAACACCCACTACATGCCAGGCACTGTTGAAGGCTCTGGGGATTCAGTTGTGGAAAGAGACTGAAATCCTTGCCTATATGCAGGTGACATTTTAGCAGGGGGTGGGAGGACAATCAAATAAAGTTACACATAAGAGAAGATGCCATGTGCCACAGGGAAAGCAGAGCGGGAAAAGGGTACAGGCAGTGGAAGGGGACGGGGGAGTGTGTGGTTTTATAGCAAGTGGTCAAGAAAGGCCTCCTGAGGAAATGTTGAGACAAGCCCTGAATGCAGTGGAGGAAAGAGCTACTGAGAAATCTGAGGAGAGTATCCAGGCAGAGAAAGGGCCTGTGCAAAGGCCCTGAGGTACGGCATTCTTGGTATGTTCAAGCAACAGTGCAGAGGCCTGTGTGGCTGGAGGGAGTGAGCAAGAAGGGGCCTGGGGGGAGGTGATAGGTTGTGCATGGTCTCAGAGGCCATGTTAAGACTTTGGCTTCTATTCCAAGTGAGGTGGGAACCCTGGAGGGCTCTGGGCAGAACAGGGATTCAACCTGACTTAAAGAATCCTTCTGGACTACAGGGGAATAGAGTGGAAGCAGGGAGCCCAATAAGAATTCTGTCAAAATAAAAGATGCCTTACACCAAGGGGTCGGCAAACTATGGCCCACAGGCCAATTCTCTGATCCACCACTAGTTTTTGTACAAGCTAAGGGGTCTTCACAT